ATAAACCTGCTCTGAAAGGAACTCTTAGAGGGGGAATATTATGGCTTGGTATAATTTGCCAAATTTATGGATAGACTCCATTTTAAATTGCTTTGTGTTCTGCTATACTACTGTTTGATTCTTAGGATTTTTGCATGAAGATACGAAGTGGAGTTTTTCTTAGATCCACGGTCTTGAATATTGAACTTTACTTGTAAACTTGTTAATTAAAGTAGTAATTTTTGCCTGGTATCATGCAGGACAGTTCAAAGTGAATATAAAAAAAATTAGTTGGCAACTTGATTTAAAAGTGCTCTTATATATTTCTTAGGCTATAATGTTTCTTTAAAAATTATAATTCTTAAATGTTCTATTTTCAAATTCAGGCAAAGTATGTAGATTCATTCTTTTTAATGAGTTTCACTGCTGACATTATTTACTACAAAACAGCAAGACAACCAATTAGATATTGTTGCAAACATGCCCTTTAAAGGTTTCCCCTCTTAAAAAAAAAACAAAACCCAGAATATGCTCTCATGTTCACAGAAGAAGCAGCTATGGAATGGGACCTATAAATCTGATTCCTGCATGTGTCAAAACAGTAATGTATTAAATGCATATTATTATAAAAATTTAAGACATGTCTTAAACACACTTACATTTTTATAACACATGGCAATATTAAATAATACATTTCCTTGTTAGCATCTGTTTGCCATCATTGTTGGCAAGACCTATGATTTATTGCTTAAATTAATGACCAAGACCATTTTGGACCTGATATATGCCCCTAAGCTTATTACATCACTAAATAAAATAAAATGTATACGCCTGTGACAGAGTTATTTTTATAATTGTTTATCCCTTTAAGTGCCCTATTCAGTGATTCACTGAAAGGTTCATAATGGTTGGCTTGTAACCAGAAAATAATCTCAGAAAAGTAAAATATATTTCTTGTTTAGAAATAAAACGGCAGAGTGATGGTGATGATAGGGGTCCCAGCAAGAATTTGCAGTGCTTAAACTCGTTCTTTTCTTCAGTGCTCTCAATGACCTCTTGTTGCGTTTTTTGATACATAACCTCCCTACCACCATCCCAACTCTTAAGGTTATCTGTTAATAATGGTGCTCACTTTTATATAAACCCTACATTATGGCTAACGTCGTTTTTTGCTCAGATATAAAGCTGTAAGGGTTAAATTATTCTCTACTTAGGATTTTTCAGGTACCATTATCACCATGCATTAAGCTGAGCAAGATTATTTTCCTATTTTTAGTTCTTTTCTTTTGGCAGATTGGAACTTTACTGTTTTATATAGTGAACTCTATTTGACTTCATAGTCTTTATCTTTCCTTTTGGAGGGTGCAGTATGATAGAACCTTCAGTATTTTTACAATAACCTGTTATTCATCTAAAATCACTCTGCTGCCTGACTTGCAATCTAATGTTACATGGCTTCGTGGTTTCCTTGCTCCACATGAAGTATCTCATTGACTGTCAGTTCTCCTGTCATGCGACGGTAGGGTCAAGTTTTTGAGAAGCTGACACCTGGCTTCTGGATTGTAGTATTTACACCTTGAAACATATGGAGCTTCTTTGGGTACCTGAGAGTATTTTTTTGTGAGAAGAGCATTTTGTAGGTACTTGGGAACAATTCTCATTTGTCACTCATAAATGGAGATAGAACTTACTTTTTTTTTTTTTTTTAAGCTGGGTGTCCCCTCCTTGCCCAGGCTAGAGTGCAGTGGTGTAATCTCAGCTCACTGCAGCCTCAACCTCCTGGGCGCAGATGATCCTCCCACCTCAGACTCCTGAGTAGCTGGGACCACAGGTGTGTGCCACCACACCCAGCTAATTTTTTTTTATTTTTAAAGATGGGATTTTGCTGTGTTGCCCAGTCTGCTCTTGAACTCCTGGACTCAAGTGATCCACCCACCTCCGCCTCCCGAAGTGCTTGGATTAGAAGTGTGAGCCACCACATCTGGCCTAACTTAGTTATTAAAAAAGATAATTTTCTTGTCTTGTCCTCATGTCACTTTTACTACATTTTAAACAAAATAGCCCATTGGAAACAAAAGGTTTTTTGCTTAGTATTCTTTCCCAAGGCAGTTGATACAGTAAAGTTTTTAATAGTTCTCTCAGACATGATCAGGCCAGCAAACATTCATGCTTTTTTTGAAAAGCTCTGTTGACCTTGCCTTTTGAAGCTCCCAGCTCCTCTCCCATTGCTGATCTTTTTACCATCCTTTTCATTTCCTTTTTCTTGGAGACCTGCCCCCAGATAAAATATTTTAGGAGAAAAGTGATGAAAAAGAATCTCAAGTGCGAGGAATCTCAGGTGGCACGTCTAATCTATTTCCTTCCCTTTCTGCCTTTGTCTTGTCCTCTCTCCTTCCTTCTGTCCTTCCCCTTTCCACCCCCTCCTTTCCTGCCCTTCTTTTCCCCATCTCTCCCTCCCCAATCCTTTTTTGTTGTTGTTGTTGTTTCCTGAATATTAGATTACCTCTATTGAGAATTTTTGTTTGTTTGTTTTGACCATTGTAGCTACTTTTACCCGTTCATTTGGAATGTGCACATTTCTCTCTTTTGCTTTCTATTTGAATTAATTTTGAGATCCTTTGGATTGGAGCTGTGTGCTTTGCTGTGATTTGATCTTCCAGCTCTACCCTGTATTGCCTAACATTGTATTGTGTTCTTTTATGCATTCAGTGAATTCTTGCTAACTTTCTGATGTGGGCCAGTGCTTATTTTTATGATCTCCTTTGAGGAGATGACGACTTTGACGCATGCTTTTTTTTTTTTTGGCCATTATTGTTCTAACTAGTACTCTACAAAGTACTTACTATTCTTTCCTGAAATTTTTACTTAAGCTGCCACTCTCTGGTTCAAGATATTTAAGTCCTATTTAAAAATATTAAAATATTCAGTAGGCAGCTAAGTGCTTGGTCTACTGTTCTACTTAACACTAAATGAAAGTAAAATACAACACAGACATGGAGCCATTTGTTGTATTTTAGCATATGAAGCAATGGCTTTGTAAACCTTAACCTTGTAATTTTGTGAGTTCTACTTTGTCATGTAGCTGTAAGGGTGATCAAAATAAATCACGGGAGGTGAATAAATATTTTCTAGTGCTTTCTCAGTGCTCTCAGAAGTGATGCTTGATCCATGATATTTTAGTAAGTTTATTAAATAAAACAATATGATGTGCACTGTGTCAGATCTGATAAATTATTCGGTATAGGACATTTATACAACATATGTTGAGCTGCTACATGAACAGCTTAATGTCTATAAATTATGTTAATCTGTCTTGCCATCTTTATATTTTGTTAAAAATTGCACTATTTGTATTATAGTTATTTATATATTTGCGGGTTGGGGCAGGGCTAAGAAGAAGGCTTAAGAAAGGTGCAGGTCAGCTCCACGATGTTCTGACAGTGATCCAGGGCTCCTCAGCTGTGCAGTGTACATAACACAGATGTTGGGGAGTCATCTGTCAGCCATGCCTCTCCTATGGAGTTAAAGTTCTAGAGGGAAAAGAATTTGACACAGTGCTGTCACTGTTACATTTTCACAATAGAAGAGCATGCAAATATTGAACCTCCTGCTTAGCAATAGTGCCCTGTCTAATGTCTGTGCTGGTTAGAATAAAAAATCATGGGTGCATCTTGGGCTCAGAGATCTGACAAAGGTCATGCTATGTTGGGCATTTGAATTGGAAATTGTCTGGACTTAGATTTTATAAAGCTCCCACTGTTGTGTGTGGGGAGAATTTCAGCAGGGTTTTGTCCCTGGAGAGGCCTCTTAGGCCCTTTTCTGTCCTATGAATGAATTTAGATGTGAGGGTTACTCCTGCCTTAAAACTGTTAAGTTCATTTTGCATACATCCCTAGAGAGAAAAACTGGCAGATGCTTTTGTCTTGGAAGTGTTTAAAAGAAAACTGCAGAGCAGGAACAAGAGAGAAAAGGGGCCCTGTGTGGAGTCCCAGAACATTTTGGAAATGGCCAATATGCAGTTTTCATCAGTATGAAGGCGGGGTGCAATATGGTGCCTGTAGCTCACAAGGGAATATGAATGTTGATTAAGCATACTCCCAGGCTTTGAAATTCTGAAAGCAGTGTCAGAATAATGGATGTTGAGCAAATGTCAAGCATTTGTTAATTTCTCTGTTATTTGGAGTTTATCTACCATGATCAATCAAATAAACTAGTGCTTCTCTCTTGTGGCATGTGTCATTGATATGGTGATTAGGTGGCTAGAGAGACCTTCTGCTTTTTTTCCAGGTAACAGATTATAAATGAGTAGACAGACCTTTTCAGTTAAAGATTTGTTTATGGCTTGGTTTAGTGAAATTTGTATATTCACTGAGCACTTTGGTGGCAGTGTAAAAATCCACAGCCACATGTCAAAGACATTAATTCTGGTGCCATGTACACCAGGAGAACTAGTAGTAGAGTCATGTTTTCCATCAAAGTATAGTTTTCAGTAGTTTATAAAACTTTGATGTAAAACTGGACAAAAGAAATGGGTCCTAGATGAATTCTTACCTCAACATTTGTAGATAGACTTTTCAATCCATTTTTATTTGTCTTTTTCCCTATTTCAATGGTTAATTCTAAGTTAGTCATTGACTTTTACTCTGGAGTGACGGACAGTAAATAGATCTGTTTCATGTGATTCAACATGATTTCTTTTATTTTTTTTTTTATTTTATTTTATTTTTTTTTTTGAGACGGAGTTTCCCTCTTGTTACCCAGGCTGGAGTGCAATGGCGCGATCTCGGCTCACCGCAACCTCCGCCTCCTGGGTTCAGGCAATTCTCCTGCCTCAGCCTCCTGAGTAGCTGGGATTACAGGCACGCGCCACCATGCCCAGCTGATTTTTTGTATTTTTAGTAGAGACGGGGTTTCACCATGTTGACCAGGATGGTCTCGATCTCTTGACCTCGTGATCCACCCGCCTCGGCCTCCCAAAGTGCTGGGATTACAGGCTTGAGCCACCGCGCCCGGCCTGATTTCTTTTATTTTTAGGAAGTAATGCTACAGTGTTTTGATGTCCCAAATAGGGTTATTAAAAAAAAAAAAAAAAAGTAGTAAAAGGTTCCTTTCAGCATTTACTTAACTGTGGATTATTGTGCAGTGCTAACATTCTGCAGTGTGAGGAGTTGGTTCCCTTTTAGAATGTGAATGACTTTACCAACTGGGATTTCATTAGGGGTTGAGACTAGGTACCATGTGTAAGTGTCCTACCCTTGAGGACAGGTTAACTTGAACTGAAAGGGGGTCTTTATGTGACGTTTTAGTGGCTGGAATCAAGGCAGGTTTGTGATTGCAGATTTGGCCTTTTTCGATCCCCCGTTTTCTTTTTGTAATCTTAGGCGTGTAGCTTACATGATTCAGATGGAGACTAGTGTAACACTTACCAACCTCGACCATGTCAAACAGGTGCCTCTGTGGTCTTTGGCATGGATATTTTTGCAAAATTGGACCTACTGAGGTGATCAGTCACCTGTTGTTAAACCTCATGAACTTCTCTTTCTGGGGATTCACAACTGAGCCGCCACAGGGCATTGTTAAACACCAGTGAACTAACTACTTGTGTGATTTGTGGAGCTCTTTGGGTTTCTCAGTCTGCCATGAGGTCACAAATATGGCAGTTTCCAAAGCAGAACATTTTTAGCTTCCTCTTCAAGCTAAGCTGCTTTATCTTAACTGTCCACATTAGGCCTTGCCTTTGGCCTTCTCTGTGATTGGAATTCCTAACCCTGTGAGTAAAATCCTCGTGTCCTGCCTGGCACACAGCGCCAGTGAGCTCTACCATTGTACTGCCTCCAGCATCATAAAAATAGACAGCAGTGCTGACTGACTTTTCTAGGCTGCCCTCTGAAAATTCATCATGAACATGACCCGATCACAGTATCACTGAATCATTAACTTGCACCAGACACCAAAACACTCGGGCTTTTTTTGATAGGCAGCTCTCAATTTTTGTTTTTTGTATTCATAGCGATAAAGCTACTATTACTACTATTACTACTAATTGAGATTAGGAATACATGAAAAAGTCTTGATAGGGTGCTGAAAAATTATTATGTAACAGTAAGAGGGAAAGAGTTTGAATTTCACTTGCTGTGAATTCTTAAGCGTATGTGCTCAGAGTGAATGCTACCAGCCGCTCCAGTGGGTGGTGCTGATGGTTTCGGTTGGTGGTGTGCCCTGTGCCTGCCAGGCCGTCAGCACCTACATCTTGTCTTCTATCTAACTCTTCTAATGTCCTCTAGTAACTGAACTTTCATTTTCCCTCGCATGTATTGCAACTATCAATTAGTGACTCAGTGTTTTAAAAGTGCTGTAATGAATACTGTTTCCTCCTGGGGACACACTGTAATGATAGCAAAAACACTTTTGAGACTTCTCTTTTGGCAAGTATTTTTAGAGTATGTGGCTCAGTGTCTTTGGTGCTTTGATAATGGAGACAAACAGGCATCATTAAGTTCAAAAAAAGGAGGCTGATGTTAGCAGGTGATCGTGAATTCTAGAGACATAATTATTTTGCCATGTGTTATAATTCAGTAGCAATAAATCCCTTATTGGATGTTTGTCTGTGTTTCTAGACTTGGTGGCCACCCTGTAGTTTGGTGAGATGTAAGATGTGACTGTGAAGTTGGTTTTCTTGTGTAACTGCTAAAGTGGTTCTAAAGTGATTCTTAAAGAGATGTTATGTTTTTGAGCCATGATGGCATCATTGGTGCTAAATGTACAAACCCCACACCTTCACCAGGATCATCACTTTAACCAAAGATAATGTGAGTAAATTAGTACCTTCTTTTAGCTGAAAAACTCCATCTTGTTACTTTATCCTTGTACTTAGTAAGTGCAGACTCTCCTTCCTTAACTATTAGCCATTATTTTTTGCCCACCTTTTCTTTGTGCTCCCCAAATGTAGACTAACTTCTCAGAGGCTAAAGATATGCTCCCTCCTAACCTGTTTCCATTACCCATATCTCTGGTGGTTGTTTATAAGGCAGACTTCTTAAAGGAAGAAGAAAAGTGAAGGGTTAGATAATCTTCACTAGGCAGTTAATTCTTGAATGCCAGAGAGCGATCTCAATAGAGAGTTTTCAGTTAAATTTTAAATAATTTTTTATTTGCTTAGAAAGGAAGACTCTAGTAATTTTGGAATTTTATTCTCTCGTTTACAAAACATTTTCTTAAAACTTTCTCCCTTTTCTGATGGTACTGAGGGAGGGGGTTGGAAATACTTATTTAGGCCTCTGTTTGGGATGGTGTTTGAAATAGGATAAAACTTATTCGCTATTTATTTTTATTTTTTTTCTGTTTCCTTCTGTATCATATGAACTCCTATTCTATTATATCCTTGAAACTCAAGTTTTTTTTCTCAGCATAAAGACATAAAATTCTTCATTGTTTTGGAAGGGACTTATACCTACCGTAGAGTTGGAAGAATCACTACAAAAGGCTAAGTAAAACAAGAGAGACAGAACCCTGAAAAGAAAGTTATTGTTCATTTATTTAGCACAGTTTCTGTAGTAGGAAAGCAACATTAAACATTATTTTAAAAACTGCATTTGTGAGACATTAATAGATGCCTTACTTGGTTTATGGCAAATTGATTAAACATTTGTTTTGGTAATATTTAAATCATACAGATAGGACTTTAAGTAACTAAGTGTAAGTAAACACTATTTGATGATCAGTAATTCTGTATCTGGTTTGAAAGCTGTTTCCCCAAAACGTTATTGCAAGACAAATTTTCTGCTACAAACTTGGAAATCTTTGGAATATGTCAGGCTGAAAGGACTGGTTCGGGCGTGATCTGAAACTTGGGTGTCTTGCCTTCTGCTTCAATGCCTGGTTCCACTCTGAAGAGGGGAGTTTCACACCACTATGTGCACTTGACACATGCAAATGCTAAATACAGTCGCAGCATGAGGTCTCTGTCATTAACAGTAATTTATGTAATGAAAGCCACCTGGCTGTTTTTTCTTATAATTAATTGCTTGTAAATAATAAATTTAAATATAATTTATAGTTTTCTAAATTTGATTACCATATAGACCCAACAGCAAACGTAAAAAAAATTATCAATTCCATAATTCTATGACTTTTTAAAGGTGAGCACATATACCACACACACACACACAAATACACATTTTAAAGTAAATATCAGATGAAAATACTTCTGGAGAGCAGTAAGAATGTAATCAACTCCTGCTGGTTTTATTCAAGTTAGAATGGTAATTTTGAAGTAGTCTCATCACTTTTAAAAGTATTTCTACATATAGTTGAATACACTCAGAAGAAAGTATGCCTCCTTAGCAGTAAGGTAGTAAAACGCCTTTAAAAAAAGCTCTTTTCCTGTTTTATAAAATTCCAATTATGTTTTGAAAAGAGTTTCTATATGAAGAAAAAGCACTTAAGCATATATGATGATATTTCACATATTGTGGTGACAATAAGAGGTTCTTTGCCTAATAGATGTACCAAGGATATCTTAGCTTAAAACAGCATTATGGTATTTCTTTTTTGTTTATGTGGCCACATATATCAGCTGCCACAGAATTGTGTTTTCTGGCATAGAAAATGTCTAAGATACACATGGTTTAAAGAGAAGGGGGGCTTTAGAACCGTGTCCTCTGTGCTTCTCTTTCATTAGAAAAGGACAGAAGGAAGTAAGGAAGGACATAATTTATGGCTTTATGTTTAAGATTTAACTACTATTTAATGACAATTATATCAGACTTTCTCAAACTTTGAATCTGATTTCTTAAATTCATACCTTTTTCTTAAATGCATTTCTTTTAAATATCTATATTATTTTATACTATAGCAGTGAAATCACTATCATTGTCAATGTGTATCATACTTTTGTAAAGGATTAACCGATTAAAGTATTCGAGTAGCTTTGAGCTACAAATTTATAAACTGTTAAGACTTTTCCCCTTATGTGACTAGCAGCATTTTTACTTCACCATGATTTAGTAAAGTTTAAATAAATAAATAATGCTTTTTTTTGTTACTTGTATTCTTTTTAAACCTGGAATTCTCTTTGTTCTTTGTAGACACTCAACTAGATTATGAAAAACTTAGTTCTGTTAAATAGCAAAATTGCATGTTGACTGCATACAAGATTGAGAGAGTCAAGTGATTGAGGTTTCTGTGTTAGCTGGAATTGCCTATAAATAAAAAATGTGGCTTCTGTGTGTGGTCAGGGTGTGACCACCATCCGTCACCTTAATAGCAGACATCAGATTTGTTCATCACTTGGTTTCCAAGATCTAATAATCCCTCAAGAATTTAGAATGTTGTTGACTGTCCCCATTTACATCATTGAAGGCTTTGCAACAGGTGCAGCTGTGTATACTAATTGCAGGGTGTGCCTAATCTGTCCAGAAGGGAAAGTACCTCCAAATTTGGTATCTTAAAGAGTGGAGTGACCTTTTAAAGTCCCAGAATGAGAATTGCCAACAATTCCAACAGGCTAATTATACCCACAAGGAGTTGTGAAGTGCTTTTAAGTTTTCCTATGTACCTAAAAGTTCAGTGAATGCTTGAAGTCATTAATATATGACAGATGCACTCCCTTTTCAAGAGCTCCTATGATAAGTTTTGATTGTAGAAGTGGGAATTTGACCTATAGCTTATCACTTGCTCATTAGCATGCTGGAGGACTACGAGTTTCTTTTGTTATTTGTTTTGACATGAGTGTTATCTTACTCCAGAATTCCATCCGCCTCCTTCTGTCTGCTGATATGAAGTCACAGCAGATAACCTTGATGCTGGTTTTTTAAAAGCATCATGCATTGTGTAGTGTTACATATATTTTATATATAAATATATAGAATATGAATATATTTCTGAGCATGGGTCTTTCAAGGTTTTGATTCATTATTTTAGAAATACTGGCTCCCATGTGACTTCTGCTCTTTTTAATGGAAAAGGAACAAATATACTTTTTGGCTTATGAAGATGACTGAAAGTCTGACTTCTACATTTCCAGAAAGCCGAGTACTTTTTGAAGCGAATGAGAATAGGGGAATGATGAAGTTTGGGATTTTTTCCAGGGGACTCTGCACACACATGGAGGAAAGTATGCTTCCCAAAGAATGAACAAATGCTAGGGGTGTACCCATGAAGAGATTTGGAAATGAAGCTTAGAAGGATTTCATGTGGTAAACTCTGTGACTGTAGCACTTAAATGAAATTGCTTTTTATTATCTGGTTGAAAAATCATCCAAAATAAGCCATACAGCTTGAAGCTTAAAAAGCTCCTGGGTAAAAGCAGTCTTGGATAATTTAATTTCCTCCCACAGCAGCTCTGTATTTACCTGCTTATGATGTCTGTTTTAATTCCTTAAAAGACTGTATACTTAAACTTTATTTTTAAATGTTTTCTGTTAAATTAAAATCTCTGTTTATAGAAGTCACTATTCCCTTAATCTCTAAGGGGGTTATGTAATTTTTTTATTCCCTAAGGGTCACAGTCATATTTAGCTGTGTTCCTGTCAATTACCAGCAAGCTCTTTTTGTACAATTAGGGGGTGGTTAATTTACTCTAAGTAAGGTTGCCACCTGTCTAGGGATTGACCCAAACAGGTTGGAAGTCACAGAGTTTTGAATTGGGGTTTAAAGCAGTAGGAGTTGATTTATTAACTCTCTACTACCATTTTGGTGGGATTTTCTGGGTTGATCAGTGGTACTTGTGACAGAGGTGTTTTCTTGGTCCCTATGTTTCTGAGGTTGGAAAAGTGTGTTGCTAAAATTTTAACTGTCACTGGAAATCTGTGAACTGTAGGTATAGTCATGCTTGGTACCCATTGAAAATGAACTGGAAAGATCTTCCACTCCTCTTCGTTGTTTCCAGTCTTATAATAACTTATCAAATTGTTGGTTGGGTGGGAAGTGGCATCCCTAAATACTGTGGATAGTTTGAAGACCAGGATTGTGTTCAGTGGAAATAACATATTAACTGGTGTGTCAGGAAAATAAAACATGAAGAACATTGATGATGTGGTTCACAGGAGAACATGAGGAGGTCATTTTATAGTATTTAAGCTGTGAGAAATATCCAATTTATTAAAGAAAATGCTTTGCTTAAAAGTTTTCCATTACAATATGTAAAATAAAATAGCTTACTTCATATGACGCAATGTGTGTGTGACTGCATTCCATCTGGAGGCTGGTTCCACGAGAAGCGTGCCCATGACCATGACTGACTTCTTTGAGATCTGCCTGTGTGTGTGTGTCTCTCTTTCCCTCCTTCCCTCTTAACTTCGTTTTATTTTTTCTTCTGTCCTTCCTTCCTTCATTCCAATTTAAAATTAGGTGTACTGTATGTTATATAATATTCTTTTTTCAACTGCAATCTGTTATGGATATACAATTCACATACTATAGCATTCACACTTTTTAAGTGTATAATTCAGTGGGTTTTAGTATATTCACAAACTTGTGAGTCTGTCACTGTTATCTACTTAGAGAATATTTTATGAGCTCAAAGAGAAACCCAGTACCTGTCAGGCATGGCTCCCCATTCTCCCACTGGCTCACCTCAGTCCTAGGCAATCACTAATCTATCTGTTTCTATTGAGTTGCCTGTCTGGACATTTTATATAATTAGTATTATACAATACGACTAGCTTTAACTTAGCATAATGTTTCTGGGATTCGTTCATATTGTCTCATTTTTTCTTATTGCTGAAAATTCCGTTGTATGAATATACTGCCTTTTGTTTATCCTTTCATTAGTTTGGAGACATTTGGTTGTTTCTCGTTTTTGGCTGTTATGATTAATGCTTGTATGAACATAAGTGTATACATTTTTGTGTTGACATATGTTTTTGTTTCTCTTGGAGCAGAATTTCTGGGTCATATGGTTTAATATTTTGAGGAACCATAAACTGGTTTTCAAAGTAGCTGCGTCATTTTACGTTTCCACGTAGGAATGTATGAGGGTTTCAGTGTCACAGAATCCTCATCAACGCCTGTGTATTGTGTCCTTTTGATTATACCCTTCCTGGTGGGTATGAAGTGGTCTCTCACTGTGGTATTGATTTCTATTTCCTCAATGATTAATGATGTTGAGAATCTTTTTATGTGTTTATTAGCTATTTGTATATCTTTTTTGAAGAAATGTCTATCCATATTTTTTGTTCATTTTTTAATTGTGTTGTCATTTTTATTGAGTTGAAGGAGATCTTTCCATATTCTAGATACAAGCCTTATATATGTGGTTTGCAAATATTTTTTTTCTAGTCTGTTGTTCTCTTTTTTACTTTATTTATGCTGTCCTTGAGTTATTCTTTTTTAAGGGTCTTACTTCCAGAAGAAAGGTACGGAAGATCAATATAGAGATATCTGTATCCTTTCTATAAAGAAAATGTTATCACTCTTTAGTGCAGTTATTATTGTTTGATACACTCTTTTGGTAAAAGTTGTTTTTCTTTAGACGATATGTTAAAAAAATACTTGGCAAGCAATCTCGTGATTGTAACTTTAAAAGTTAGGCATGTTTTAATATTTTCCCCTTTTCACTCTGCCTTTTAAAGTTATACACAAATATATATGTGTGACAGGGTCTTGGGCTCTGTTGCCTAGGCTGGAGTACAGTGACATGATTGTGGCTTCACTGTAGCCTCAACCTCATAGGTTGAAATGATCCTCCTGGCTTAGCCCCCTGAGTAGCTTGGGACCACGGGTGTGCAACCACTCTGCCTAGCCTGTATTTGAAAATTATTTTTACAGATAGGGTCTCCCTTTTTTATCCAGGCTGGTCATGAACTCCTGTTCTCAAGGGCTCCTCCTACCTTGGCCTCCCAAAGTGTGGGGATTATGGCGTGAGCCAGCACACCTGCCTGGCCTATTATATCTTGATCATATCATCTAAATTGAAAATTTGATAGGAGCGATGTTAGTAAAGTGCTAAAAATAAAAACTTACGTAAACCAGTAAAAATAATATTTTTAAAAAGGACTATAATTATAAAGAATCACGAGTCTATCAACTTAAAATGAAAAACTTAGTGGACCACGTGTAGTGGCTCACATCTATAATCTAGCACTTTAAAAAGGAGATTGAGGCAGGCAGATCGCTTGAAGCCAGGAGTTTGAGAAAAAAATTAAACTCAGTTCTATTGCATTTAAAAAGTGATTAACCAGATATGGTTTATGAAATGTATTTCTTTAGCTGAGTGCTGGGAAGAGACCATCACCTTTCTTGGGCCAGAAGATCCGTGTCTGGGGATCCAGACCAGCTAGGAGGTCTGGCTTCCAAAGCCAGTTTCGCTGTAGTGCTAAGAGCATGGCCCTGGGCAAATCACTTACTATCTTGGAGCTCCATTTTGTCCATGTGGATAGAAAGAGTTCCTGTTTTTCACACAGGATGTGTTAAGCTTTTTAGAAGGATGTAGTGCCAGGATAATGCCCTGCCAATCTGGAGGCTGGTGTTTTTGTAAAGCTGTGAAAGGAAACCTTCTACAGTCTGAGAGAGAAAAGATGAGAGCTTCTCCCTTATACAGCATTCTATGTGACCATGTGCTTCAGCTCTCTAACATGTCAAAGCAGGGCATGTACTTTAGAGCTCCTCTGGCTGAATATTGTCTAAGGGGTCTCAAAGATTGGCTATCTTGCTAAAGTAGTTTATCAGCAAAATAGGAGAAATGGTTCACAAACTATAATATGGGAAATATTTAATCAGTAAGTAGGTATTTGCATTAAAAACAAAACAGATGACAACTGCATCAAAGCACAGGGATAATTGCATGCTGAAATGATATTCGAGTAAAGCAAGGGGCATGTAGGAAGTCACTTCGAATTGTGGTGTTGTAGAGAAATACCTAATTGCTTGTTCCTCTTGTCACTTTGCTTCTTTAAGTGACTTAAGCAAGGTAGATTCTTAAATTGTGCCTTTATAAATCTTTTCAGTTGTGTAATGTGAAAATTATTAATGTGTGGTTATCTAGATGTAGTTGTATAGTATATCATCTCCCTTGGATAGTTAATGAGATGGCTTTTGTGCCATTTATCTTGGAAAAAACATAGTGTTCTTTCACATCTACTTATTTTGCCACACTTTATCTTTCATTTGGATGGGTTTATATATAACTGTGTGTGAGTGTGTATGTGGTTGTGTATTTATTTTTGCTTTATGTGTAAGGATAATATATGAATCTAGTTCTCAGCTAGATTCTCTTGGCATAAACAAGGGTGGGTATCTGTTCTCTGCAGTGGCTACTCCCTTAAGAAAATTAAGTGTCCACAGAACTGGTGACCTGTTTTTAAGAGAACTGTAACATCTTTCTAAATGAAAAATCATTCCAGCAATATTTAATACTTGCAATTTTCTTCTGTCTGCTTTTAGAACTTACTGGCCAACCAGGTCAGACATTATTAAAGTTCAAGGGGTCCAGTGGGAAGAATAATGGTTTTTGCTACTATGAATTTTAAGTGTTGCCATTTTCATGTGTAGCATCTGTACTCACATGCCACTAAAAATATGTAGAAGTTTCAGACAAAATTCAGGGTCAAGGTTACAAGAATGATGATGTTTCTGACTCATTCTCTTAGCATTACGTTACCCAAATTATCTGCTTACCATTCTGTAGTAAGATCCTTTTTTTTTTTTTTTGAGACGGAGTTTCTCTCTTGTTACCCAGGCTGGAGTGCAATGGCACGATCTTGGCTCACCGCAACCTCCGCCTCCTGGGTTCAGGCAATTCTCCTGTCTCAGCCTCTTGAGTAGCTGGAATTACAGGCACACACCACCATGCCCAGCTAATGTTTTGTATTTTTAGTGGAGACGGGGTTTCACCGTGTTGACCAGGATGGTCTTGATCTCTTGACCTCGTGATCCACCCACCTCGGCCTCCCAAAGTGCTGGGATTACAGGCGTGAGCCACCGCGCCCAGAGTAAGATCCTTTTTAACCAGTTATTTGAAAGAACTTATAAAAAGGCTTTTTTTGGAGAGGTCTTAGCACTTTTTGGCAATTTGTTTAGGTACAGTTGGAGAATCTGTTCTGACTAAACAGGATAGCTATTGACTATCCTGTACTCAAATAGACAGTAGGGAGTGCTTTAGTTCTGAGAATAACTGTGTTTTCTACTACCAGAAGCAATGCCTTTTGAATATAAAACCCTTGGGGAGGCCGAGTCCTGTGTCACATACTCTTTTGAGAGTCCACTCTCCAGCACATGGGAGTTGTCAACAAACAGGTGTTTGATAAATATTTGTTAAAATACTGAATAAGTGAACTAACCACCTTTTGGGAGAGGCTACTAAATGTGTAGCTATTTAATGTACTTTGGTGGGCTTAATGAGATGAAGAGAGACTGAGAAGGAAACTTACACAGAATTATCATGGGTTGGTTGAATGAATATAGGTATCCCCACATCACTTTTGAAATGAAATGAAATGTCCATACCTCGTAAAGTCAACTGCTTTTAAAATTTTCTTAGTGTTATCATTATCTTGGAGAATAGGAGAAACGGAGTTTGTGTTTTGGGAAATCAAATACTTTATTACTAAATTTGGTAAATGTTTTACTAAACGGAATTGATTGTGTCTTGTTCTAAAAATATCAGCAGGGTGTTTGCATTTTATCAAATGAGTATGAAGTTGTTTTATTGGTGGTATCTCTAGCCCTACATTCTGCTATTCATCAATGGTGGTTATGAAATGAAATTCATAATTATTAGAGGCAACTCAAAGGAATAACGTATAGTAGTAGTTTAAAATGGCTTGTTGGGTCAAGACAACTTTGAAGTTGTGAAGAAACTTTTACCCATGGTACATTGTTCAGAATTGTAGCAGCTTCATTTATGATTGTTGAGTTCACTTGGATAGAGTGCTGTGCCCATGATAGAAACTGTAGTTTTTCCCAGGTGTCTGTTTTCTCATTCTTCTGGTATGATAGAATCCTCCATTTTTGACCAGGAACATGACTTCCAAGAACAGAGGCATCTTTGTATATTTCATGGCCATGGAACTGAGTTCTGGCTATTGCAGAGAAGCATAAGTTTCATGTGGCAGCTTAGTTTCATGTGGAGGCTTCCATAAGAGACAGCCTTTGTCTCTCTTCTTCAAGATCCTTTCTCAATCTTGCTTTCTGGAACGCACATGCCATAGTCTTAATCGTGGGCTGATAGAGGGGTGAGCTGAGAGGAGCCTGGGTCCCAAGGACTTCCTGGAGAAAAATTGCTATAGTGGAAGAGGCCGATCTTATGGGGAAAGACAAATATTCCTGACTTACCTAATTCATAGTTATTTGGGATCATATTTTCTATCCCTTGTGGGTGAACCTCACCCCATCTATGTAGAGATAGACGGGCTGGGTTTTATCAGATTGGATTCCTAGGATATAAGGTCACAATGAGGCTGCATGAGACCAAGTTTCTCACCATATTCAGAGCTGTTTTAAAGTCCATGCCTTACGATTGCTGGTGAGTCATGTAGCGTTCACTAAGCTTGGCATGTTGATACTTCCCTTGTTCTGGATTTGGTCTGACTATGTCAGGACTCATATATGGCTTTCACAAATTGCCTGCAATGACTAGTCTGCATCATCTTCCTGGGTATTGTAAAGGTAGAGAGTTGGGTTAGGGAGAGGTAACTGAATATATAAGCAACAGGTCACAGTGCTCTTTTTAGGCATTATTATTTTTATTCTGGCCATGAACATCTTTTCCCTGAGAAAATGTTTCCATGAGTCTCACTATTTGTTGATATCTTAAAAGATAACAGTTGGTTGCCTGAATATTGTATATTGTAGCCATTTTATCAAAATTAAAGCAGAGGCCAAAACATACTAGGCTTTTCTTCTGTATTTGATATAGCCAAAATTTCTAAGACTTAAAAATTAATTAGTAGCACACACTCTCTTAATCTTCTTGTGAAGCTTAAAATCACTAACTATTAGTCACCACAGTGTTTGGAAGCAAAACAGCTCTTTTAGCAATGGCATCTCTATTATGTGTTCACATGTTGTCTCAATGCCCATTCATTCTCTGTGTCTGTGAGTTGTAGTGTTTTTACATTTTCCCTTAAAATGGATGTGTGTGTTTGGTATGCGGGTGTTAGGGAATGAGAAGAGGAGGGGCATTCTTCATGAAGTCATCACTTGGAAGGCCAATATGTGCAAGTCACCGTGCTAAATATTGTTGATGTAACATTGGACCAGTGGGAAAATACAGAGAGAGTATCAATGAGGGAAAATGGATGTGTGGACAGAAAAACATAAGTGGCTTGACGTAGACTCTTCCTTCTCATTATCTGGAATTCATGTCTAATCTCTTAGCCACCAGGCTGAGGGCACATCATAGACATGGTGGAAAGGTGAACTGGAGGAGTTGAGTTTCGGGGATTTGAAGGTGCCACATTGAGTTTTTAGAGGTTCTATATCATTTTAGAACTAAATGCTTCTGTGTATGTTTTGGTAATTTTTTTCTAAGCCTACATTGTCTAGTCTGCATAGAGTAATATCAGCCTTCAGCAACTTTTATCCAGTATTGTTGCAAGAATATAAGGCAGATGAAATTGTAAAAGTATTATACCTTTTTATATTTCAGAATGAAAACTATTTTTAAAAATTATTCTATTGGGGCACAGGCATGTGAGCCGGTTGGAGTTGCCGTGGTAGGAACAATTGGGCCAAGTAGGGGACAACATGTTGCTTTTCCAGGAGCAGGTAAACATCTAAAGGAACTGGTTTAAATCCTAATGCCAAAGTATGACAAGAAATTGCTCCTGGAAATACCAATGCCACCCTAGTAACACATGGAACTAAAAGCTCTTGGCATAAAACAGCAGCTATATCAGGTGCTCATCCTGAGGATAATGTGAGCTCTCAGAAGGTATTTGTAAAGACTATGAAGTGATGTATTCTTCGTCTTGTGAAACCCCAAGAAATACTATAAGCATTGAAGAATCAACTGAAGGGATGATTTTAGGACCAGAAGATCTGAGTTACCAAATATATGATGATTCTGGAGAAAGCATTTCAGTAGTTTCTACAGAAGACCTAAAAGAATGTCTGAAGAAACAATTAGAATTCTGTTTTTCATGAGAAAATTTGTCAAAGGATCTTTACTTGATATCTTAAATGGATAGTGATCAGTTCATCTCAGTTTGGACAGTTGCCAACATGGAAGAAATAAAAAAGTTGACTGTAGACCCTGATCTAATTCTTTTTTAAGTGTTAAGATTTTCTTCCATGGTGCAAGTTGATGAGAAGTGTAAGAAAGTGAGACCAAGTCATAGGCATTGTATTATAATTCTTAAAGAGATTCCTGAAACAACACCAGTAGAGGAAGTGAAAGCTTCATTCAAAAGAGAAAACTGCCCCAAAGTGATAAACTGTGAGTCTGCACACAGTAGCAACTGGTATATCACTTTCTAGTCAGACAAATATGCACAACAGGCTTTTAAGTGCTTAAGAAGTTAAAACATTTCAGGGCAAGCCAGTTGTGCAAGGATAAAAGCCATCAGTACATTTTGTTGTTGTTGTTAGGAATGGTTATCGATTAATGGATTCCAGTATCTATAGTCAGTCCATTCAAACTCAAGCACGGTATACTTCCCCAGTCTTTACGCAGCTCTATGTAACCCTCGCCAACAGTACTCGGTCTATGGTATTGTGCTTCAGTCTTGGTCTCCAAGTCCTACAGCTTACTTTGAGACACCACTGGCTCCCTTTTCGCAGTGGTAGTTTTGTGAATGTCTTTAATTCACCAGGATTGTATAAAACAAATGCTATGAATATGGGTCGACCATTCAAAAAAAAAAAAGAAAAATGTGTGAAGCCTTATTTTAGGTCATCCAATGGTTCAGAACACTCAGCAGAGGGCTCTGTATCATTGTGGGGGATGGACAGTTGAACAGATCTAGCTCAAGAAACTTTCCAACTGCATGGTGTAACCGTATAGTAACTGGTTATCAGGAGCAAATTTACCTTCAAAAGGAGACTTCCATTTTGCAGATGGAACAGAATGGGGAATATGCTAGGGAAGGAGAACTCTTTTCAGAGGCCAAAGACGAAGAGAATGTGATGATTTCAAGACCTCATCCTTCAACAGCTGAATCAAAGGTTCCAACTCCAAAGTTTGACTTACTAGCCTCAAATTTTCCACCTTTACCTGGAAGTTAATCAAGAATGCCAGGTGAACTCATTTTGGAGAATAGGATATCTGATATTAAAGATGTCTGCAAAGAAAAGGGTAATGGAAAGTTGAGAGTTAGTTGCCCAGTGCCTGCAGATGAGCAGACAGAATGCACTTCTGGCCAGTAACTCAGTATGAGTACCAGTTCTCCATGTGCAGCTGATCTTACTGCCTTAAGCACATCTCAGCAAGAGAAGGATCTACTAGAGCATTCCTCTGTTCAGAAGGATGGTCTCAACCAGATGAATAGACCAGTTTCTCCTCCAACTACTACAAAGCCATCAAGGGCAAGTACTGCTTCACCATGTAATAGTAACATAAATGCTGCTACAGCTGTGGTTCTACAGGAACCCCGGAAGTTAAGTTATGCTGAAGTGTATCAGAAGCCGCCTAAAGAGCCATCTTCAGTTCTTGTGTAGCAGCTTTGGGAACTTCACTCCAATGTATTGTCTCCCACCAAAAATGAAGATAATGGAGCTCCTGAGAAGTCCATTGAGAAACCATGTGAGAAGCCAGCAGTAAGGGCTAGTAATGTTTATTCTGGCTTCTGAGGCAATACCATTCCCAGGGGAGAACAGCTAGAAAAATCACAGAGCAGAGACGCCAGTTTAGCCATAGGGCTATACCTCAGGGAGTGACTCGAGCTAATGACATAGAGCAGTATGTGCCACCCATATCGCCAAAGTAAAAAACAATCAAAACAACAAAACTATTCAAAAACTTCACTTTCTTTCTGTTAAACTCGAGCTGTGACTATATTGAATTGTTTTGGAGGGTAGGGGGTAGCCAGGAAGGTAACAGGAGAAAGCACATCCTTAAATCATTGTGGATTTTGGAGTTGTGAGGGATAGGATCCCAAAATTCACCTCTGATGTGATTTTTAAATGCTTGAGGATTCCTATCTGTCTATCTACGTATATATACATACACACACATATAAAAAGTAAAAGGTTTCTTTTTTGTTTTGTTTTGTTTTAATTTGCAGAGATTTGCTGCCAGGTTAGCTTGGCTAAAAAAAAAAAAAAAAAAGGACATTATATGTCCTTCAGTATAGGAGATGAGGGAGTGAGAGGAAATATTTTTTGAAGAAGCATTTCTGTAAAATTAGAAATTACTTTTTAAAATCTATTTACAGTTTGGCTTGGAGAATGCCATCTCTGACTATATGGCCTTGTATTGCAAAGCAGATCAGTAGCTGGGGTGCCTATTGTGGGTGTGAGTATGTACAAGAGCGATTGAAGCCAAATCTGTTGTCATGTGGTAAATGATTTGAAAACTGAATGTAACACTTGAGTGGATTCTTTTCTAGTTGGAAATTTAGTCTTTCTGACCTTACTAATATTTCATTCAACAAGTTGTGAAACTCTGATTGTACTTGGAGATGTGACTACCAATTGGTTTGATATTCAAGGAAGAATGGGGGTTATTCGAAAAACTGAAAATTTCATCTTGGACTTCAGTGCATAGGTCAAATGGAATTCAGAGGTTTAAACTTCCCTTTGATTTTCCCCACCCTAAAATGGGAAACAAAATTTTTTTTCTCACTCCATTTTTCACTCTCTGTTCTTTACCACTCCAAAAGCAAAATAACCAACTACCTACTGAATTATGTGTTTGTAATTGCTTTGACCAGTCTAGTCAAATCTTATAAATTGTGCTAAATTTCAGAAGTGAACGTTGATGTATTTACTCTTCCGTTCACATATTTAGAATTTTAGGTCCTGGGATGGTGGGGCAGACTGACCCTACAGTAATTTATTTGTTGTTAGTGTTAAAGGTGAAACATTATAATGGACTCTTAAGTGTTAAGCAGTGTAGAAGTAAAATATATTTTTTTAAAGGCTTACTTTTTGAGGGGACTTATTTCTGTTTACAATGTATTTACCACGTTTCTTCCCTTTTCCCCCGCATTCAAAAAATACAGTTTGGAATTGACTGAAACAGAATCAGCAAGTCATGGGATATTTTAGTAAAGATAAGAAAGATGGTTGATGAAAATTAATGCATAATTTTTCAGTTAATAAAGTTGTGGCTTTTACATACTAAATAGACAAGTCTACATGCTGTCATTTAGAAAATGGCTAAAATATTAAAAACTGTATTGTGTTCATCTGTTTTAAGTCAGACCATATTTAGAGTTCTTTGTAAGGTGGGTTTTATTTTTCTTTTAAGGGTTAGTTTGTAATAGTAAGAACTGTCCCATATGTTAGTGAATTACATATGTATAAATTGAAACTGTAAATTGTGAACCCTCAAAAGCACCATGGTGACATAGAGTAAATGTCTTAGTAATATATTAAAGTGAATGTAAGTGGTGGTTAAAATTACATTACTGTGAAATTCATCTTCCAGCTCTAAGCTTTGGAGATACATATTAGTGGTTAACTGGTAAGAGCTTTGAAAACATTTCACATATCTGTACAAGCCACAATTACTATTTCATTGACTTATTATTAGCTTGGCAGTTGCTTTTGATTTGATTTTTTTATGTCATGGTATATATATTTACTCACTTTGAAACTATTCATTTCTATACACTATTTAAAAAAATTACCTACTAGGTGAAACATGCAATAAAACTATCTGTGCTGAAATTTGGGGGAAGTTTAGGTCCTTTAAAAAAAAGTATTAATTATTGACTACATCTATGATAAAAGTGCTTATTTTGGTTTACTAAGATAATGCAGTTGGTGGAAATGATAAACATTTTAAGTGTTAACATCCTTTGAATGCATTGGATTTCAGAGAATAAACATTTTGTAAAAATTAAAAAAATTATTCTGTTGGCCTCCCTTTTAGATGGGCAAATTCATTGGTGCTAGCCATTCAAAATTGTGTGAAGGGCAGTATCTGACATAATTATAATATTTAGGGAAAGTATTTGTTGGGTGACCTCACAATAAGTTCAGGTTTTTCTTTTTTTAGCTCCGAGGGCTTTTAATAGAATTGCTTTGGTCTAGGAATTCATGATAGACTAAATGAAATCCTTCAGTCTGCTGGATTTAGTGAAACCATAAATTAGCCTCATGGTGAATGCATCTTTCTTTTTCCTGTTTCATTTGATACAATTCACTGAAATGATGACTACCTATAAGTGGTTAGAATTTTATGTGTGGAAAACTTGAAGAGAAAAACTTTTCAAAGTGAAGTGTTTGTTTCTTTCATCATGGTGTCACCCTCTTTTGATCTTTTTCATTGTGCTTATGCTTAAAAATAGATTTCAGTATATGTTCCCTAATGGTAAGGGTTTATATGCAAAATAGGTTTTCTGCCAATTTTACTGTCACATATAGGGTGAAACTGGGGGTGACCCAGTTTTCCTCATTGGGCTTGAGGGAGGGGTGGGGACAGTTGGACCTGTCTACAGACCTCCCTCTCTACTCTTTAACTAAAAAAGTGGCACAAAGTGGTAGGAAGGAAACCTAAGCAGATGTCTCATTGGCAGGCCAATGTGGAGTACTGAGAGGCAGTGTTCGTAGCAGCACAGCAGCTGTGGGGACCTCTGTCATGGGGAGCAGGGCCCAGCAGTCAGGTTGGCTTTGGTGACAGGTTCCTGGCATGAGCAAATTCTTGAGTAACTGTAGTTCTAGCTAGATTTCTAAAGACAAGACCTGCATACACAGGAGAGCTGGGAAGCACTGTATTTCACCCAAGCGGCCTGTGGTTGTAGACTTGAGGAAATATGAGGAGCCAGGGTAACAGCAAATGGTACTTATCTTTGGGTGCCAGAGTATTTGGCCAGAGGTACACACATTCTTCCCACCTGACGTTAGGGCTGGTCGGGAAGTTGTGGGCAGACCCCAGGGTAAGGTCAAGTAGCTCTAGCAGGAACGGGGCAGAGCCTGGCCTTTTAGTCAGGGGCAGGGAGCACTTCCCCAGTTGGGTCCTGTCTTGAATCACGTCAGTGTTTGTATCAGGGAAGGCAACCTTTCTGACTTCCTCTGATCTGGAGAGGCCGTTTTGATGCTGAGAAGATAATTGAAGCTTCTTATATCAAATTGAGCCATTTCTAAATATTGAGACACATAGTTGCATGGAGCTGCTGATGTGCAGGGTACACATTCAGATTTGGGGAGAATCTAATATAATCTAATGCAATGTAAGCCGCGGTTCTATAAAATTTTGCAGTTTTTTTTTTTTTTGGACGTTTGCAGCTTTTGGGATATGAATTTTGTGTTTTTTGGTTGGGTTGTGTTATTTTGAGAACAGACATGAAACCCAGTCACATTTTTAGGATATTGTATGTATGCCAAAGGAAATGTATGTTTTTTTCCCCTGAAATTTTTATTTCTTATGTAAATAGCATTAAAATCAGGAAAAAAAAGATGAAGAAATCAATTATAAACCAAAACCCATACTTTTTTTTTTTTTTTTTTAAACAATTGTGCCTTCTATTTTAGACCTTGGGCATAGGCTTACTTGAGACTGTAATTATAAATGTACTATCAATATAACTTTATATATTTTTTTACTTTAAATTTTATTCACTTACAGCCAATAGTTGCATGTTAACTTTGTTGAGTGATGAACTCAGATCTGCCAAATTGAACTTTGATTTTGAATGGTGAATTTTAGGGTAAAAATGACTTTGTGTTTAGGCTCCATTCTTTTGGCAAGTGTTGCAGTGGAGGTAACCGGTTGTTGGACGCCATCGGCAGAAGGCTCAGTACCCTGGACAGGTCCTGGAAGTTGCTGTAGGGTGAGGGGAGCACTCCTGTGGTGTGGTTGGGACTTTGTTCTTGGTTATAAGGCCTCTGAACTTGATTTTCTGGTTCTGTGGTAAATTCCGTGAGATGTCTAAAACCTTTAGTAAATTTCCGTTTTTCTTAAAACTAGATTGAGTAGATTAAGTTGTTTGCAACTAAGCATCTTGTGAAACATTGGCATATTGGTTCTTGAAAGTAATCTGTTTTATCATTTGGAGACAGTCATTAAGAACCTGGAGTCTAAGGGCAAACTGCCTGTATTCAATATGCTGGCTGTGTTAATTTGGAGAAGATACTTCACTTTTCTCACTTAGCTTCTTCAGAAAACACAACTATTATTATAGTGATGATAATTAAATAAAACAGTACCTGGTAGCTAATAAGTGTTTCCCCAGTGTTACCATCTTTATTATCATGCTCATCATGACAGTAGGTATTTATTGAACACCTTTTCTTTATTAGAGTTCAACAGAAATGGGTAAAAGTTACAAATCAGATATTGTAGCAAAACTTAGTGTATAACAAAGCCTAATTGTATTGTGCATACTCTTAATGACAGCTCCATCTCTGCTTATTCTCTGGTTTCCCTTAAGACACACAGAGAAGCAGGGAAGGTATTTATAGCCGTCTAAGATTGGATTTATTGAATGAACGACAGTAAGTGCTGAGAATAACTGATAAAAAGGATTTGATTGTGAATCAAGAATAAAAGGCTTGTGGTAAGATTTAGAATTGTGTGTTTAGTAAGAGAAGAGCTTAAAGCATTGTAAGGCATTCCATTTGTTGTTTTAACATTGTCAGCATGTATTATTAAAGTGGGTGGTTATAGAATAATTATAATCCATATCATGATGATGATGATGTTTTTAGAGAAGATTGAAAATCTACAGTTTTTTTCCAAACAAAGTAAGGAAAACATGTCATTTACTGGGGCTTCAAATAGTTTGCTTGACCTCATGAGAGTACTAGTGAGATTATTTAAAGGAAAGACATGTTCAGTAAGGTACTTTTATGCAAATTTTTGCATTTCCTTGTTGAATTCTTAAAAGTATCAGCTTAGTAATTGGGGGTTGGGATGGGAGTAAGAAACAGAAGACAGGGAAAAATATGAGATTATTAATACAATTATTTTAATATAACTGAGAATTTATTTGGGAAGAGAGTGGTAAAGATGGTAATTATACCTACAATCTTTATAAATTATAAGAATTATAAAGTGAAAATGGCCAATCATTTTTACTGGTTTTATAAGAGGTTTCTGTGACCTATTAAATTAAGAAAGTTTGAGGGGCAGGACATATATTTTTGTGCAGAAAAAGAATAAGGAAATATTTAAATTGTTTTAAAAAGTATTCTAAACTATTTTACTCTGTGAAAAGTTTCTAAAGCAATTGTGCTTATTAGACATAGACTGGTAGCATTATGGTCACAGAATTAAATTTAGCCTCTAGATGTTCATTCACTATGATTGCATAGAATTAGTAGAATGTCTTAGGTATTCTCTCAGGATTTCATAAAATGAAGAATTCTCTGATAAGAAAGATTCATTCATGGCATTTTCTGTGTAAGCAAAACCATAAAATATCTGAAATTTAGTGGAAAAAACTGGGCACCATGGAGTAAAATTAGATTGCTTCATAAAACCCAACATATATAACTAACCTTATACAGCCACAGACTTGGTTTTCTGTGGGAGTTTTTAGAGCTTGCTTTTCGAGAAGGAGACTCAGAGTTGAACTCAGGAGAGATTGGCCCAGTCCTGGATTTTGAAGAATTAATTAGCTACCTGGGAATATTGTGGGAATAATTAATCATCAACCCTCAGTGTGGCTGGTTATGTAAGGATCCCCAGTGCCTTAGTGTGCTTCAGACTGCCTTAGCAAAATACCATGGAATGGATAACTTAAAACAACAGAAATTTATTTTCATACAAGTTCTGGGGGCTGGAAGTTTGAGATCAGGGTACCACCATGGTCAGGTTCTGGTGAGGGCCCTCTTCCTGGCTTGCAGGCGGCCACCTACTTGCTGTGTCCTAACTTAACCTGTCTCAGTGAGTGCAAAAGGATCTCTTCTCTCTCTCTCAAGAGACAGAGATTTGCTGTGTTGCTCAGGCTGGAGTGCAGTGGCTACTCACAGGTCATAGGCATGCTACCATTACTGATCAGTAGGGGAGTTTTTACCTGCTTCGTCTCTGACCTAGGCAGATCCACACCTCCTTAGACAACCTAGTGGTCCCCTGCTATCAGAAAGTCACACCATACTATGCCAAACTTAGTATGGACACCTGATCTGCATAGTATACTATATCCCGGAACTCCTGGATTCAAGTAGTCCTCCCTCCTCAGCTTCCCTGGTAGCTGGGACTACAAGAATGAGCCATTGTGTCTGACTCTTTATCTTCTTTTAATGCCACTAATTCCATCTTGAAGGCCCTGCCCTCATGACCTCATCTAACCTCAATTACTTCCAAAATCCTCGTCTACCATTACACTGGGGGTTAGGGGTTCAACATATAAATTTTGGGGGGGACATAAACATTTAGTTTATGGTGCCTATTAATCCTTCAGGGTGATTAGAGGATCACTAGACCAGGTGACCTGTGAGCTGACTCTTATTTCATTCTCTTGTTGGAATGTTGTAATTTTCTTATTTTTTGTACTTAATTACTGGGTTATTTTGTCATCTTTTATTTCAGATTTAAGCATTTTTTGTCAGATTATAATCTGTAAATTTGTTCAAGATGGACTCAACAAAAAGTAGTTTATATGTTCTTAGAGATTATATATTTTGTATTGGGGGTACATTTTTCTCTGTTACTGACATCAGGGTATATTTAAATATATTACAATTAAAATAGATATCTATGTTAAAATTGCGTGGATTAAATATTATGTCATATATTTAATTTGTTTTTAAATTTTTGTTTATTTTAAGCCGCTGTTCACTCTATTCAAATCATTTTTTTTCTTTGCAAAACTAGCTAGAACTGATGAGGAATCAAAGAAGGCCTTATATATTAAATTCTTAAGTAGAGTCTTAAAATTTAAAGTAAGGATCTATAATAGAGACACAGGCCGTGGGCCTTGTTCCAGCAAACAAAGCCACAAATAGAGTCTTGCAAATTAAGGAAGACGGCAAATGTCTTAAAACAAAGTAGATCTTGAGGGGGAAGAAATAAAATACTGAAGTTTCAAAAGCCAGACTAGTTCCATACTCTTTGCTTTCCACTCCAAAGATAGAATTTCAAGGTACATTTTCAGTGATTTAGCTGTTGCAACATATGCAAATATATTCGTCATTAGCTGTCCTGTTTTGGGGACTAATAGCAAGCAATATGCTTGAATAAGGGGTCCAACTTCCACTTAAATGCAGTTTCTTCGCTTCTGGGCAACAAAGCCATTTGCAGACATCTGGAAATCATGAGCCTCCTAAGTGGGAGGAGGTGCTATTCTGTTTCACCTGAAAATATCCTTTCTGATTTACTGGTGTTCTATAGTCCCTTGCTTGGTGTTTGTTACTGATGATGATGGGGGCCAGGGTTGCTATAGTGGAAGTGGGGATGAGGAGTGGGGGTCGGGGAGTGTGTTTGCATAGGGGTCATAGCTAAGCTGAGCCAGCATGGGGCAATGTGGGCCATGTCTGGCACCATGTCCCCAGGGATGTGGCAAGTCCACTTGGAGAGCACTTCCAGGTTCACAGGCTTGAAGACCTGGTCCATGGACCACTGAATCTTAGATGGAGAGATGCCACCCTGCTTGCCAATGAGGAGTTGATGGTGGAGGACAGTGTTGCTCCAGGTGATGCCGAGGTGGTAGGGGTGAGTTTGAGGGCACTTCTGGGCTGCAGCACCAGCTGTGTGTAGTACATAGGCAGGCCCCTGTCCTTGCCCACCTCCATGCACGGGGCCTACATCATCTCTATGGCCTTGTTCCACTTGGCGAGGCCATTGCCATAGCTGCTGAGGTCGAAGCTTGCAGTAGTAACCTTGCAATAGTGACCTTGCACGTGACCATGGAGCGCATGGAGACCTGGCTGTCCTGTGCCGTAAGCAGGAACTTGGAGTTGGGGAACAGGTACAACAGGTAGACCAAGGATTCGAGTGTGAAGTGGTCCTTGTTGCAGAGCACACGGGCTGGCTCCCTTTGCTTAGAGATCACCTCCAGGATGAAGGCCTGCGTGGTGGTGTTCAGCACCTCATCAGTCACGCCCGCCTTGTCCAGCTGTAGTTTCTTGTGGCCAGACTTGGACCAGGCCTGACGCATGGCCAGCATGCAAGGGATGATGTGTGTCTCCTTGCTGCAGTGCACCTCAGGGCGGTCCTTCAGCCCACAAACATCAGCATGGTGCTGCTGCAGAGCATACCGCCCATGAAGATGAGTGGCATGGCCTTGTTGTACTGGTACTCCACGCGGTCCATCAGATCTGCAAGGTCCACCTGTGGCTCTGCCTGCCAGTGCTGCCTGGCATGTTAGCATCTGCTGCCCTAGCTGGACCACCAGCACCAGGGCCAGCTTGATCTGGCAGGCCCAACCTGGGAACCCACTTCAAGGACTGTGGCAACAGGTCAGTGGGTGGCCCACTGGGTTCACATGCAGAGGTTCAGGGAGGTGGTCCCATGTGCCCAGTGACTCCTGGCCTCCTAGCTGCCCCTGCTGAAGAAGTGGGAGGACTAATTTTTTTTTTTTTTTTTTTTTGGTGCCAGGTCAGCATGGGTTTATGGAACACTGGCTACAGTAAATATGTGAAAATTGTAAATATTTTTAAAATTTTTATTAAATTTATTATTGATTTACATACAGTTAAATTCCCACCGTTTCTGTACAGTTCTGCAAATTTTGACAAACACATGAAATTGTGTAACCACTACCACAGTCAAGATGTTGAGCACATGTATCATCCCCTAAAAATTCCATTAGCCCTTTTATAGTCAGTTCTCCCCCACTGCCCTGGCACCTAACAGCCACTGATCTGATTTCTGTTCCTCTACTTTTCCTTTTCTAGAATGCCATAGAAATGGAATCATGTGGTAGGTAGCCTTTTCAGTTTGGCTTCTTTTACTTAGAGCACGCTCGTGATTTCTCCATGCCGTTGCTTGCATTGTTGCAGAGTAGTATTCCTTTGTATGGATGTGTCACAGTTTGTTCATCCATTATTGAAGGTTGTTTGTGTTCTTTCCGACATAGATGAAGCTGCTGTAAAAATTTGTGTGTAGGGCTTTGTGTGGTAAATATCTAGAAGTGCCTTAGGATGGATCATCCCCATAATCTAACTCATACCTAATTTAGGTAAGATTTGGGGGTTTGAGATGACACTTATTTAGATGACATTTTGAACCTGAGTTGATTCTGTGATGAGTTGGGACTTTGGGGGTTGCTGGGATGGGGTGAATGTATTTGGCATGTGGGCCAGATATGAATCTTTGGGGCCAGAGGGTGAATGGTGGTAGGCCAAAAAATAAGCACCTTAAAGATATTAGGTCTTAAGCCGCAGAACCTGAAAATGTTACCTTACGTAGTTTGAGGGTCTTTGCAGATGTAATTAACTTAAGGATCTTGAGATGCAGAGATTATCCTGGATTACCAGGATGGGCTCTAAATGGAATTATATGTATCCTGAAAGGAGCAAGGTGGTGGAAGTTTTTACCACACATACTTAAAAGGCAATATGAAAATGGAGCAGAGAGAGATTTGAAGATGCTGATCTTGAAAATTGGAATGATGTGGCCACAAGCTAAGGAATGCAGGCAGCCACGAGAAGCTGAGAGAGACGAGAAATAGATTCTCCTCTGGAGCCTCTGAATGGAGCATGGCCTTCCTGACACATTGATTTTGGCCTACTGATAAGGGCTTTGGACTTCTGGCCTCCAGAACTGTGAGAGAATAAATTTCTGTTATTTTAATCCACTAAGTTTTTCGTAATTTGTTACAGTAACCATAGGAAATTAAAGTGTGTGACCATGGTAGGATGTTTAGTAAATTTTTATTTTTAAGATAAAGCCTTGAGAAAGTGAGATTAATTTGTTTGATTTTTATAAGTAGTTGGTTTAAGAAGCCATCTGAAGTGGGTCAGAATTGATTATCTTTTTCAGCACTGAATATTATTGAGGGAAACTTGCAATATTATTTGGTGCTATTTTTAAGACCAAGGCTTTTGTCGAAGAAAAGGCAAAAGGATACCATGGAGTAGAAAGATTATAATTACTTATTAGTTAATGGTTAACAATTATCTCACTCATGGTAATAATATAAAGTGCCACTAAATTATGCTGAACATTGATTGTTAGAGAACTGATTTTGTCACTTGAGTAAGAACTGATACCTTTGCTCTCTAATATCTCATCTTGTATTTTGAACCCTTTTGACAAATGCCCTTTGAAAGCTAAATTCATTTCTAGAATTCGATCACTTCTGTTTTCCTCTACATCAGGCTACCATGATGAAACTCTTGAAAGCCAAACAAATTATTCAATTTGAAGTTACTGTAAAGAGGTGGGGAGAGGGGAATACTTCTAGGTCTTCATAACCTTCTTGTGTATTTTCATGTGAAAACCTAGTTTAAGCCAGGGACCTCCTAAAGAAAATATGTGAAGAATTGGAATTGTGAGGTTAAATGTTTTATATATGTGTATACATATGTATGTATTATACATTTTAGATAACTTTTCAGGTAAGGATCTGATGGCTCCTTTAGTGAATATCTGGATTTAGTCTTATATCAGAAAATATGGTAAGTTAGAAGAGGCTGGGATTTCAGCAGTGAAATAGTTGTGTTAGACCATGAGATGGTTGTTTAACCTCTTTTGGAGGAAGTGGTACCTTAAAATCAGTGGTGAATAAAAGAAGTTAATTTTAATTATTTTCCTTGATCTTCTCACTTTGTGGTTGGATTCCTTTAAAGGCCTAGAGGTCTTCATGAACAAATTAATCACTGTAGCTATTGACCTAGGATAGAACTGCTATAATAGACCCACATAAAAATGTCCACTGTCAATATGATTACAAGTTATTACTATTAGGACCAAGGCACAGTTTTTTGATAAACTGTACTGAAATGACTTAGGGCTGTAAGTAGAGAGAAACGTAACAAATTTAACTCTTACATTTGCAGAACTGATAAAATCATAGAACTTTCAAGATGAAATTGGATTCTAAAGAAGTTACCAATCAATTTACAGATGGTGGAATTGAGACCTAAAAATATTAAGTGATGTTTCCAATTAGATTTTAAACACTTCAGGAATAAAGACAATATTCCCCGTTGGTGATCCCTTGACAATGCAGCTGTTGCTGCTGCCCTCCCTATTGTTTAATACGTGTCTGTGGAATGCATAAAGATGTTGTCTTAGTCCGTTTTTGCTGCTAGAAAGGAAAATCGGAGGCTGAGTATGTTATAAAGAAAAAAGGCTTACTTGGCTCACAGTTCTACAAGCTGTACAAGAAGCATGATGCTGGCTTCTGCTCTTGGTAAGGGCTTCAGGAAGCTTCTACTCATGGGGGAATGCAAAGGGGAGCTGGTATGTACAGAGACCACATGGTGAGGGAGGAGGAGGGGAGAGAGAGAAAAGGAGGGAGGTGCCAGGCTCTTTTTAACAGCCAGCTCTTTAGAGAACCAACAGAGCAAGAACTCATTAATTGAGGACTCACCAAGCCACTTATAAGGGATCTGCTTCCATGACTCAGGCATCTCCCATTAGGCCCCACCTTCAACACTGGGAACCAAACGTCAACATGAGATTTGGAGGGGGTCAAGCAAACCAAACTATTGCAGATGCCCACCAGAAATTTGCAAAGAAAATTAGTATTTCAAAGGACTGAGCAGTGGTCCTATATCAGGAGAAATGACACTTAACCTGGAAAAGTCATATTTAAAACTTTGTATTTATAATGGAAAAAATGGACGTCATAGAGGAAAAGAAGTTCATAATTTTGATCTACTTTTTAAATCAAGGCTTTATGGAAATATTTATGTACCATAAATTTTGCTCTTTAAAAACATACAATTCAGTAGTTTTTAGTATATTTACTAAGTTGTACAGCTATCACCACTGCCTAATATCAGAATGTTTTCATCACCTCCAAAAGAAATCCCGTGTTAATTATCAGTCACTCCTGGTCATTCCTGCTCCTGTCCCTGACAACTACTAATCTGC